AACAAAGGCGTCATCGGTCAATGCTAGCCAGCTGGACAGCACTTCCAGAAAGCGGTGGAACTCCTCAAGCTCCCGGATCCGGCCTTGCTTCATCTCACCAGCATTGATGAGAGGCAGGGGTGGCAGATACTTCTCTGCACGACCACCAAAACTCGAAAAACTCCCAGAACTCGCAGCAGGCCCACTCGGAGGGGCAACAAGCGACCCAGTAGGCGCCGTCGGCGCTGCTCCTGAACTGCTAGCAGCCACTGCAGCTGCAAAGGGGTCCGAAGACACCTTTCGCCGATCCTCATCGGCTTTCCGTCTGGCTTCTTCCTCGTCCAAACGGCGGTTCAAGAGGGTCAACTGAGCACTCTGAGCTTGCATCAGAAAGTTCATCTGATTCTGCTGTTGCTGTAAAGCCGTGTTCTGGTTGTTCAGCATCTGCAACATCAACTGCTGCAGTTGTTCACCTCCCAACGCAGGGTTCGGAGGAACCGGACACTGAGCAGGAGCCGCCGGCGCTACAGCCGGACCACTCACACCTTCTGGCACTGTTGCAGAACCACTCGCAGGCGCAGCCGCTGCTGCTTGCTGAGCTGTCAACGACCCAGCAGGACTGTTCACAGGTCCTACAGGTCCCACGGGTCCTGGTCCAAACAAGTCAAAGTCCATGCCTTGCTCAGGCACAGGGACGTTCTGAGCAGGAGTCTCACTGCTCCCACCTGGCAAGGGCGAGGCCATGGCGCTGTAAAGCTCCTTCTAAGTCCTCAGGAGCTTCGCTACATGTGAAAAACAGAGCGCGCAGCACTCGGTCTTTTTTCTTGAGCCAAAGCGGAGTCGCGTCGGACTCTGACTGACAGTGAAACACCTTGCAGCTGTCTGTCTCCAAGCAAAACACTTCAAGCACTAACGAAACGAGACGAAACGAACGTGCAGTCACTTTCTAACTCAAAAGCACTCCTCACAGCTTCAGGCATGCCGAAAACATCAGGACATCCAAGGTCAAATGGGATTTTCACACTCTGTCGCCACCTATATCTCAATTCAACCCCTCTCGCTGCTCTACTGCGCTCCGACGAAAGTAGCCACGCGGCAGCTATCAAGTGCTGTGGGCTCGCAAGAGCGCAAAGCGGCCGGTCTTGCCTTTCGGCAACAGCTAACGGCAGACCAACGGTCGGTAGCCGCATATCTGGATCGGTGTGTGTTTGTGTGTTGGCAAATAGCCAGAGCAATGGCCGATGATGACGCATTGAAAGTGATCATTACCGACAGGTGCAAAAGCATCAGGTCAATTGAGTACATCAACAGGTTACTCAAGCAGAGAAGAGAAGAGAGAGCGCAGATGATATCTGGAAAGTGGTAGAGTCGCTCAACCAAGATCGCGAAGGCGACCGATGAAGAAGCAGAAGATCCCAAAGAAGAAGAGCAGCCAAAGAGTAAGGAAGAAAGTGACAACATAGGTTTTTGGGGGGGTGTTCGAACCCAAGGTTTGGAACTTAGAGTTCCGAACCCAGGGTTCTGGAACTCCGAACTAAGAGTTCGGAGCCTCGAACCCAGGGTTCGAACATCGAAGTTCCCTCCGAACCCTGGGTTCGAACTTTGAGTTGAACTCCAAGTTGAACCCAACTCCGAACTTCTTGAACTGGAGTTGAACCTGGAGTTGAACTCTGAAAGGCGAAGAGTTTGAACCCAGGGTTTGAACATAGAGTTTCCGAACCCAGAGTTCGAACTCTGGCGGTCCTCAAGAGTTGAGTCCCCAGGTTTCGAACATTGAGTTTCCGAACCCAGAGTTCAAACATGGAGTTTCCGAACCCAGAGTTCGAACTCTTGTCTCATTGCTTCTTGTTCTCTCATTTTATTTGCTCGAAAGTGAAGCTGCGTCGGATCCAGAGTCTGATGGAGAAGAGTCAAAAAGAAAGCGAGTCAGAAGAGGACGATGAGAATGAAAAAGGAGCACTAATTGGTCAATCGCTTTAGCATGGAGTTTGTGCATCCAGGAAGATCAAAGCGAAGAAAGGAGCACAAGAGAAAAGATGGAAGACGTTATGATGATTGTGCTGAGTCTGGTCGGGACATGTTTCCTCATTGAGCAAGCGGTTAAGCTGATGTACATCATGGTGAAGTGGTGCAGCCAGAAAAGGAAAGGCGAAAATGAAGTCACGGTTTACGTCTACAACATAGGTTTCTGGGGGGGTGTTCGAACCCAAGGTTTGGAACTTAGAGTTCCGAACCCAGGGTTCTGGAACTCCGAACTAAGAGTTCGGAGCCTCGCCAGGGTTCGAACATCGAAGTTCCCTCCGAACCCTGAGACAAGAGTTCGAACTCTGGGCTCGGAAACTCCATGTTCGAACTCTGGGTTCGGAAACTCAATGTTCGAAACCTGGGGACTCAACTCTTGAGGACCGCCTTCGTAAACTCTATGTTCAAACCCTGGGTTCAAACTCTTCGCCTTTCAGAGTTCAACTCCAGGTTCAACTCCAGCTCAAGAAGTTCGGAGTTGAGTTCAACTTGGAGTTCAACTCAAAGTTCGAACCCAGGGTTCGGAGGGAACTTCGATGTTCGAACCCTGGCGAGGCTCCGAACTCTTAGTTCGGAGTTCCAGAACCCTGGGTTCGGAACTCTAAGTTCCAAACCTTGGGTTCGAACACCCCCCCAGAAACCTATGTTGTAGACGGAACGTGGAGTTCTCCAAACCCCGGGTTCGAACATAGAGTTCCCGAACCCAGGGTTCGAACATAGAGTTCCCGAACCCCGGGTTCGAACATAGAGTTCCCGAACCCAGGGTTTGAACATAGAGTTCAAACTCCAGGTTCAACCTGGGTTCGAGAAGTTCGAACCCAGGGTTCAACCCTGAGTTCCGGAGTTATATGTTCTCCCCCCCCCCCCTCCCCGGGCCCCCCGGGAGTTCGAACCCTGGGTTCCGGAACACTCCAAAAACCTATGCTCTTACGTCTATCCAAAGAGGAAGGTTTACCATAAGCGACATGCATGTGGTGGAGTGAACCTCCGAAAACGGAGGCAATGAGCGTCAATGAAGCGCTAAGCAGAGGATTTAGGTCCTGCTGGAAATGCCACCCTCAAGATAGACCAGCAAGGAGGACCCAAGAAGTGACAACGTTCATGGTAAGGCTCTGCGGACAGCCCTGTACATGGTGTGGAGAAGGCTTGTGCAGTCGAGCCAAGCAAGGGCATGTTAACTGCAGTTGTACGGAATGTATCAGAGACCATGCCGAAGCAAGTTGGAGAGCTTGGTACGATACGGATGAAGGAGACAACGAAGAGGAACAGGATGGATGGTCAATGGTACTCCGAGGAGAATGAAGAGTGGAGCCAGCAAGTCGTGAGAGCGCTTGAGTTTGTAGTTGGCAAGAGCGACTGTTGTAAAACAATGGTCAGCCTAACAGTTTCCGTTTACAGGACGAAAAGTCAACGACATCCACAACAAGCAAAAAAAGCGAGAAGAAGAAAGAAGAAGCCAAAGACGGTTAAAAGTGCTCAAAGAAGAAGTGTGAGAAGTGAAGAAGGCTCACCAGAGCATGCGAGAACCGTGGTGGATGTAGGAAAAGTTTCATAAGGATCGCATTACACGACAAAGCTGTGTATGCGATGAGGGCGTAACAGACAGTTCAATTTTCCCTCATGTACATTTACATACAGGAATCCAGTGTTTCACCGCAGGTCAAACCTCGGCTCAAGCACGGCCCAACAGCGGAGCTCAGAGTGAGAAAAGAATCTGAAGCTCGCGCCGTGGTTATAAGATGTATACTGGTATAAGGGTTTAAACTTTCAGATGGACAGACTGGCCCATCAAGGCGGTGAGATCATGCAGCAAAGGAATGCAGGCGCCGGTCCCATCGCCGGAAAAGCTCGCGGAGAAGTGCTCCAATTTGCTGGTAGACTTGGATTCTGGCCCGGTTGCAGTCTTGGCCCTCTTCTTTTGGCGGCTTGACTTGCCAAAGAAAACTGCAACTGTTCGTTTGGAGCAAGATGCACAGACGTGTTCACGTTTGCTCCAAACATTTGTTTTTTGTAAGAAATTGTTTTTTAGCAAGACATCGAACGCACAACCTTTACATTGAGTTGAGAAGGTCTTGATTCCAAGCTTTGAAATCAGCAGTTGGAAAGCTGAAGCCCATTATTGTGAGTACTCACACAGTAAAGTGTTCTCAAGTCCAAGGAGCCGTTGAATCAGTGCTTTGTTTTCACACGAATCCACTTGTAAGGCTGTGACAATTATTGAAGTTTGAAATGCAGACATGCAATTGAGCTGCTGACGTCCGTGGTGTGCTGGTAGCTTGAGCTGCTGTTGACGTGATATGAGCCCCCCCAGTCGAACGCCTAGGTGCATGTGACATCTGTGTTTTGTTGAAAGCTTGACTTGCTAAAGTGATATGATATGACTTGACCCCCAACAAACAGAGCAACATCCAGCTTCTTGGCCCGTGGAAGTGAAGGAAACTGGTACATATTCAGTACAATGTAGATGCATATGTTGAGGATATTTTTTCACCAGATGGATAATTAACATTAGTTGCTCTTCTGTTGACCTTGTGCCAAGTACTGCAGGAGTTGGGCAAACAAACGGAAGCATAGCTGAAGCCAAGCTGGAACATCGACATTTGTTTTGCTTCGCATATACATCAGCACACACCACCCGCGCGGTGGGTAGCACTTAGGGGCACTTCCTGCTTTGCTGGCTGTTTTTGTTTCCGCCTGAGCACGACTTTTTGTATAGGTTGTGTGCAGTTCCCAAGCATACTTGTGACACCGAGAAGAGCCGCCACTTAACACTACGTGGCGTTTGATGTGTCGTGTTGGGCCAGGAAAAGGCTCATACGAAGCATGCAGTTGTTTGCCCATACATATTGTCGTGTTCTCACATGACGGTAAGCTTAACCGGGAATTCGCCAGCACACATAAGTATTGTAACATTGTTAAATTGAGTGGGTTAGATGCAGCCACATGTCCCGGGTGAACATCAATGGTTATGTTGCCTCTTGCATATGTCGTTCTGAAAGATGCTTTCAGAGTTTGCTCCGGTGCCTGGTCTGCATGAAAGAAGCACTTTCCGATAAAGGAGCCCGACACATGCAACCCAAATCTCACAGCCCATGAGGCGCCAAGATCACTGGCCGCTGCTTCTGCATCTGCTCGGGGTCAGCAGAAGCAGCTGGGCCATGAGCGAGGCTTGATTTCGCGAGGCCTGGGCAGAAGATGATCGCAGCAACATTCCTTTTGGCGCTGTCACCTCTCGGCGGTTGTGACGGAGGTGATCCACACAACTACTGCATTGTCGAGGAAGTAGAAATTGATCAGCAGGCATCTGGAGATTGCTAGCAAAGGTTTGTGTCGCAAGCAAGGAAAGCGGTATTTTCGAGGTGTTGTTCGTTCGCGGCTGGGTGATGGGCAAAGTGCAAAGAGCTCACCTGCGTGCTGTTACTGTCACTTCGTGGGATGTGTTTTGCAGTTCGGTGCCTCAGGCTGGACCCATGTTTGGCAGAAATTATCGCTTCGATCCGGCCTCAGTGCCCGGCAGCCCCGTCCTTTATTGCAAATGCTTCTCTTGTAGCAGGCCGTTGCAAGCTTTCGAAGCAGAGGTTCCGCCCCCTGATGGGAGAGAGGCTTTTGCTGTGTTGGTGCGTTTCTTCAGGCGGAAGATCCGCCCCGTGGCCTGCGAATGGGGGGAATGCAGGTTCGCGCCTTCAAGAGATCATGCGAGACAGGACGCAGCCCAGCCTGCTGCAGGTTCAGCTCCTATTTACGTCTGATTCGGACATCGACACCGGGAACTTCGAGGTCGGGTCGTGCAGGGGGGCTTGCGGTGCTGTGCCGACCGTGCGCAGATTGCTTTCGTTTCTGCGTTTGCTTCTGGGAGCCTTTGCACGACCTGCGTCAAACTTGACGTGATCTTTGCACAGTTCTTGGTATTGTCTAGCTGACTTCGTTCATCCGAAAGCGTACAGCGGTGGGTTCATGTGTCGAAGGGTGACCAGCGAAGCGCTCTGAATTTAGTTGTTTCATTGGCAACCTCATTTACATGGTGTCATGCTCTTCAGGACCTACGTTTTCGATATGGACCAGATTATTCAGACGTGTGCGCCGTGTGTCATGTCATTGAGAAGAGCTGAGAAGTATTCGCCGACTCTGCCAGCAGGTCCATCCTCGACTTACTCTGTCGACAGAGTTCATGTGAAGAGGCCGTGCCTTCACTCCACCAGACGTTTGGTTTCTGCCCAGCAGATATTTCTGGCCATCTTATGCCCATGTCTGATGACAGCTGGCTGGCTTGTAGTAAGACGATGACAACAGCAGAAACACAGAGGGAACTGGAAACCGCCTATCCAGCTACGGCCAGCATGCAGCCGCAGCCCCCTGGTCGCATGGTGCTGTTTTGCCGAAATTATGTGTCTTTGCAGCCGTTGAGATCCGTGTACTCCTTTCAGGTCAGCAAAGGATGTTCCTGACATCGCGGACAGCTGTTAGGAACAGTGCCGAGACCTCAAGTTGGCATGTTAGCTGTGTGAGCTGAAGGTGTCATAGTCATGCTTTGAGGCTTGGGCGATACGATGTGCACGCCGCTGGCCAAGCGGGTGTGAGGATGGACGGTTGGTTTTAGGAGTCTTGAAGTCACAGAGATGCCAAAGTCTGGTTTAGGGCCATGCGGGGCTGTTGCACAGGACATGCTTTGCAGATCACACCGAGCTCAAGTGGTCTGGTGTCAGAGGCAGTCTTGTTCGCTCGAACGCTCGGGAGTTTGCCGAGGTTCTTGCATCTCCAGCTTTTCGGGGGCCAAAGATCCCCGAACAGAGTTGGCCCAGGCAGCCCTGCACGTGTTGGACGAATGGCTGAGGGCTTTTTTTGGGCAGATTCCCAGAGGCTCAGGCTCCTGTCGGCCTGTTGCAGCTGCCTCGCACGCGTGGGGAGAGGCCCGGGAACCCGGCCCGCCGCATCCGCGGCCTCGAGGTGGGTGGAAGACCTCCCTTCGAGGTTGCGGCATTTGGAGATCCTTGACCAAGTTCCCTTCGATCTCGTTAATGCTTACCACGAGCGTGGTGAGCCCAGACCGGGAACTTCTTGGCACATGGCAATGGCTCTGAGCTTCGGGCTCTTTCATTGCGGCAAAGGGGAGGCGGAGCGAGGTCAGCTTGTTGGTGCGGCTCGAGGCTCGAGGTTCAGCTGAGCTGCAGCCGTCTCAGATCAGCTTCTCCTGGCAGGCCCCATCGGGAAGATTCTGAGGCGACATCGACAGGATGATTCGACGACTTTGATCCGAACAATGCTTAAGGTGCAGTTCCAACTCGAGCAGAGCTGCATTGCAATGCAGTTCGCTAAGTCTCGGAGGCATGCGTGGAGAAGCGCTGGGATCCAATGCTCTGGGACACTTTCGCGGAAGCCGTGCAGACCGAGCAGCGGGCGCCCAAGTTTCATTCTTTAGCCTCGGTGCTTCCCTATCCCTGTTTCAGTGCGGCCTGGGCCAAGGAATCGGCTCACTCCCAGTGATATTTCTTTGGTGTTGTTCTGCTTCATGAAGGCGCCGTGATCATCTTGGAAGGCCCAGTGATGAAGCAGCGGTTCCTCTGACAGGCCGACTACCGACGCGACGCCTCCCTTGTTCCAGAGCTGCTGAAGATCCTGGCCTCTTTTGCCGTGATGCCAGGCCTCGAGGGGATGTCCCTTGTAGATCCATGTGGTACTGCAAACATGAAATAACATAATATTATATGTAGTTTATTGTCATAGCAAGCCTCAAAGCAGCAGTTCTTCAGAGCCGCTCTGCCCCAGCTGCATCTCCTCGGTCTGCACCCGGACACGCTTCGAACACGCTGGCGACGGTCGCCACAGTCCCCCACTTAGACTCGGATGCCTTACGGTTGATGATATAGGAAAAAAAGTATATATATATATATATATGCCATATATATATATATATGTATATCCTGCACGACCCGGGTCATTGAGGTAATGCAGGATATATTATGTCAGCAACCGTAGGATGCCCTAGGATGCCAGTAGCCAAAAAGTCGGTCACAGATCTCAGGCAGCCCTTCCCACCAGTGGGCGGAAGCATCGAAGAAAAAGCGTGCTGGGAGCCCAGAGAGAGCAGAGAGAGAGACGGAATGCCACGTGTTTCTTGCACGCAAGAGGCAGCCTGGGGCTTTGAAGGCTCCGAAGCAGCAGAGCAGCCGTTTCTTCCTTGTTTGCAGTTGACGGCTCTGATGTTGGTAGGCCAGGCCGGGAGGCGGCCGTCCTGCGAAGAAGGCGCGTGCGCGCGCAGGGGGAGTTTCGCTGTGGGAGAGCTGGGGATGGTGTCCAGGCGTCCTTTCCTGAGTATGCCACGGACTTGGTGTTTTGCTTGTCCCTTTCAGCCCTGGGTCTTGAGCTAGATTCAGCTGGATCGTCCGAGTGCCTGCGAGGCTTTGCTTGCGAGCTTTGCCGCTGCCCAGAACTTCAGCCTGGGCTGGGCCCAGAGAATGCTGAAAGTGTCAAGCATGGGGGTGGCGAGGGCACATGGCAAAATCCAAGTATGGGAGGCAAGGCCTCCGGGGACGACCTGGCCAAGTTGTGCGGTCGCGCTTTGCAGAGTGGCCTGGGCTCTTTTTTGGCTTTCGGTTGCTGGGGCTCCGGCAGTCTCAAGTACGAGTGGTATCGCAGACGTTCGCTCGCAGGTTCTTCTGAGCTTTCAGGCCGTGTCCTGTGTCGATTGGTGCACCACAGCGGTAGCATCTTTCTGAGCATCAGAGCTTGGTCACTGCTTCTGTCATGTCCACTTCTACCGGAGCTGTGTAGCTGCATGTAGTGGAAGCGATCCAGGTCTTATCCAGGCGACGGGAGGATGCGGTCCAGTCCTTGCAGCCTCGTCTGATTCTGACTGTAAGCGGCCAGTGTGCGGTCAAGCAAGGCCCTGCATTGAAACTGCTCTTGGGGATGCAGCAGGAGTCCGGTGCTTACAGGCAGTAAGACCTGTGCGAGCATGCTTATCTCTGTGTGTGTTTGCCATGATGTTGAGCTGCAAACTGACTGCAGGTTTCTTACGAAGAGAAACAATGAAGACAAGTGGACCGTTTTGTTGTGAAGGGCGTCGCGGGGCAGGGTTCACACGATCTGTTCTCCACCGTTTGTTGACGTCCTTTCCAGCTGCAATCTCTCTCTGGCGTCAAAGCCCAACCAAAGCACACGGACCAGCTGTCGTCGCACATTGGCTTGATCGGCGACCTGTCCCTCTGTGGCAGAGATTTGAAAAGATTCATCGGGCAGAGACCCAACCTGCAGCACACCTCGAAACGGTGTGACAGGAACATCTCTAACTCCGACACAAAACTCCAAATTGTAGAAAGGGAAAGAGCATAAAAGCCCAGCTTCTTGTCGACGACAAGTGAAAGATGTTAGTGAGAGCACGTTCGTTTCGAAGATCACTGGTTTCATCGACAACGAAACGGCGACAACGATGTTCCGACGAAGAGCGCGGGTACCGGAGTGTAAAACAGTGTCGATTCAGGTTTCCTGAGAGTGTGCTCAGGCTTCGGCAGCGTCTACTGGCTCAGCAAGCAGGCTTGCCGCGAGCAGTTAACGTGCTGTTTTCAGCCGTGCATGCATCAAGGAGCAGACGCGGCAATATCGGCATCTGATCTATGCCTGGTAGCGCACGCCTACGTATTGGGCTTTGTCCAGCACAAGCAAGAAACTGCGCTGCTGGTAGCTGGGCTGAAGGCGCAGATTCCGCAGCGAGCGGACAAAGGCTTGTTTCAGGACCAGCCTTGAACTGTTCTTGAACTGTTCTTTGTCCCAGGAATTGTGGGTTGCATGCAGGAGATTGAGAAGAGACTGTTGGATGATGCATCGCTGATCGAGCCAAGAGCTTAGTACGAGTTTGAGATTCCGATTCTGAATGTATATATACATATATATATCTAGGTTTCTACATATCACACATATACATATATATCCATATGTATATATATGTATATATGTATATATATATATATATGTATGTACACATATATATATATATATATATATCTCTCTCTCTCTCTCTCTATCTCTCTATCTCTCTCTCTCTCTCCCTCTCCCTCTCCCTCTCTCCCTCCCTCTCTCTCTCTCTCTCTCTCTCTCTCTCTCTTTCTCTCTTTCTCTCTCTGAATTGAGCCTGTCCTCCCAGTCCTCCCAGCGCAGGCTCGGTGCTGGTGAGCTGTCCAACCTGGCCAATGCCAGCTTCCTGGTTGACTGAGACAGGCAGTATCTCACGGTTGCTTTCTTTTGGGCGGGGTCTTTGTAGGCCTTCTCAAAGCTCTCGGATGTGGAGCGGAGCGGACATGTGGAGCTATTCCACAGGCACTGACTTGAAGGGAAGTTTCTGGTCCCACAGCACGCAAAAACACATGCATGGTTGCTGGCTGGCTTCAGCACCAATGCTTGGGTCCAACCTAAACCTGCCAAGTCAGCCAGTGTTGGCACAACCAAGCCTCAGACACAGCACAGAGTAACGAAGTCTACAGTACTCCTGCTGAGAAGCTTGCAATGGAATGGCTCGCGAGCTGAGTTCCAAAGGAACTGTTCCGGGGGAAGCGGAAGTCAGCGAGGTGTTTGTTATCGGACGTGCGTTTTCTGGTAACGATGGTGCCCTCGAAGCTATTGATGGCAGCTTCGAGTGGATTGAATTTGATACGGGAGATCCCCAGCAAGATGAAGAGCTGCGGAACATGCGGCTAGAAGCTGCCAGGCTGACTGCAGCAGCCTGCCGTCTTGGCAGATACTCTTTCAATGAAGCAGATGTGCCTTTAGTAAATCTGCCAGAGACGCTGGAGGGCACTCATGTTGTGCTCAATGTGGACGGCACGACGCAGCAGGAAGAGACCTTTGAAACCGAGTTTGTCTTTCACGAGGCCGAGGACTCTTCCTTGACGGAAGTCCTCCTTGGCCTGGCGGCAGAGCGTTCCGTGACGGTGCTAAATGCAGGGAGTCCCTACAAGATCGGTGGGAACTTTGTGGAAGGAGGTGCCGTTGAGTTTGAAGAAATGCTCTGCATGCAATCGACTCTGCAGATGTCTCTCCGGCGTGCCAGCAAGATGGCTGCGGAGCATGGTGTGAGGGCCTCGAAGCATGCGAGACCGGTGAATGGCACGTCCTGGGATGTCCACATCCCCGAGTACGGGGCTGTCCTTAGCCCCAATGTGGAGATCTTCCGGGCCGGTCCGG